TGTTAACGGATTATATTATAAATAGTGTAGAAATTTAACTTGATTACATAAGTTTTTTTTTTCTTAAAATCTACTCTAAAGTATGACTATTGTAAATTTTGTTTTTACATTTTCTATCAATTTGAAAAACTATTAATTTAAAGTATAATTTACCTTTGTCATAAACTACTATTAGGTTCTATACTATCGGAGTAATAATGCAAACACGAATTGATTATTAACAAACTATATAATTTTAATTCAAATTCATTTGTTGTACATAAATTATTAGAAAAAAATATAAACAGATTTTTCTTATATATCATTGTAAAAAAAAGTGAATACATTAAAAACATTTTATTGAAAGTCAAATGAATAAGCATTTCCCGTTTTTCCTCTGTAACAAAGTGACATTTTGGTGTCGCCGTCGTTTTAATTTCATCGTCCGTCAACTGTATTCTGGGGACAAAAACTTGTCGCTTGTTGGGAAACCTTACCACCACCACAACACCGTTTCTCGTTGTCAAATTTTTCATTGAAACCACTCGATAGGCATGATTCTCTATCAAGTCGGACATTTTAATGTATTCCATGCCTTTGACTTGAATATTCATTTTTTGTTTTAATTGTTCCATTTTCTACACAACAAAAATATTCGTGAGTAAATTATATATGTTGAAGGTCATATTAATGGTGTATAAGTCTACACTGATATGGACATTTCTATCAATAACTACTACCATCAGCCACAGTATAACGGAGGAGGACACCGCATTATACAAATTTCCCGAAAATTATACATAACTTGAAAACAGATGCAGCTAGTGCACATTGTATTTCAATGTTAAAAAAGAGTATTTAGTAGTATACACACACACAGAGTCAATGTTGTAAACAACAAACGACCTTGTAGTAATGCTGTGAAATATTGCGCCTACGCGTTATGCACGTATTCGATGGTTTTTTTTATTAAACGACTGTCGGAATGTCCGGAATGTGTAGTGAAACGACACAGAAGGGATATTTATCATTTACGAAACATCGACTTAAATTTAATTGACACAGCGGTGTATAGGGTTGTGACATATCATACGTGCGGACTCGACGCGTACTATACGTACGTTAAACCATTAGCGTGTAGGTACTCTGGAAAATGAACTTTTTTTTTTTTTTAACCGACCTGACTAACATATATATTATATAGTAGTGGTTGTGTAACGGGTTAACTGTAGTAGGTTCAGGTATGCCATCATAGGGCTTACCTTATATCAAAGTTTAGGTATGACGTCAGCTAGGGGGTAACATCACGAGCACACTTGGATGCAGTCCCCAACGGGCGCCGGAGCCAGGGGAGTAACGATAGGGCAAGTGTGACGTCACCAGGACGGACTGCATATCACCCGCACACCCACTGTTATCCCGAGAACAATAGATGACGTCATTGTCGGCACCTTTGACGACTCGTAGCACACCTATTGTTTTACGAGAATAATAGGTGACATCATTGTCGGTCCCGCTATTTATATACTACTCAAGTAAAATCAGAAAAGTAGGTATAACTGTCGTAAATCCATAATTATTTTATAAATATTAGTTTTAAGGAATTTATTCTAACACTAGAAAATATTAATAGTGATACAGTTGACCGTTGTACGGTGAACACGTTATAATCTTACGTTTAATTTGATTTTTAAATATATCCTAACTTTTTTCTGGTTTTTGGATGTAAATACTCTTATATGTGTTCCTACCGTACCGTGATCCCATTTTACTGCGGTTTTTTAATATTATATACAGGGTGGCCCACCACTCACTGACAACTTAAATAACTTTTGATCCAGTTAATATTTTTAGTTGATTTTTTTTTTAAATAATAGTTATACGTTAGGTCTATAGGTATATCTCAATAATTAATTTTTTTATATTTTATTAAAAATATTAATTATTTTAGTAAAAAAATATCTTATTAATATTGAGTAGTAAATATTCTGTAGCGTTTTGAAGTTTGTAAAAATTTGAATTTTCATGTACTATTTTACGGTATTAAACATTGAAATACGTATTGAGAAAAGGACAGAAGAAAACGCTATCTTTTCAATATACTTTTGAATGAGAGTGATAAGTAATAATTGCCTTATCTAATTTCTTATCATGGTATTAATGCCATATTTGTAATGTATACACATTATCATCATATGTATACACAGTTATTAAGATATAGCTATAGACCTAACAGTAGTGTATAAATGTTCCTTCTAAAACACCTGATCACATGATCGAGTGTTTTGGTATTTTTTTCAATGAAAGTTGTCTTTATACGACAGAAGTTTTTCTTTACGTCATTACCTCTAAACGTCATTAGTTCACATATGCGACATTAGTTCACCCGTACGTCACCACACTTACCCGACATTAGTTCAATGACATTGTTGTCAATATAGAATTTGTAGAATTATTAGATTTTCAAAATAGTATCTTATATTTTAATATTAACAAAAATTATTTTTAAATATTTTTTTCACATCATAGCATCTATTTTAATTTTTATATTTTCATAATATGTTGTCATTACTTTAATAATATTTATAACTAATAAAATATTTTAATATCCTGGAAACATTTTGACATTATTTATAACTCATCAGAAAATTTTTTTTTTTTTTTTAATATTTTAAAAGCATATGAATGACATGTTTTTTAAAACTACGCCATACGGTCATATAGCATCGTTTTAAAAATATAGCACCCTCTAAGAAATAATCCTAAATTCTCAATATGAGTGGGTAGTATTTCGGAGTGATACGTCTAGACACTGTGAATACCAGAGGGTTATTTTACTTTTACGGTACCCTAATATATTTATACTACAAGTGTACTTACACTACAGTAAAAAAAAAAATAATAATAATAAATCAGATAAATAATAATAAGCTACAAGGTTAATTTAAAAGAAATTATATAATCATAGATGCGTAAATTCTTTATACATTTTTTAAAAAAGGTCTCTATAATACGTATCAAATTATTGTTAAAACTCGTTATTTTGGGGTGATACGTCTAGACACTGTGAATACCAGAGGGTTATTTTACTTTTTATTAGGTCCTTACACATTTTTAAAAGGTTTGAGTTATTTTTTACTCAAATTGTTATATTTAACAGTAAAAATATATTTTTAGAAACTAATTATATTAAAAGGCTAATTTAAATAAATAAATATTTCAAACATACTGCAGACATCTGTTTTAATAATATGAAAATTAATCTTAGTGTTTATTGTTGTTGTAACACGTTATTTAAGCAATATGAGTTATGTTTAATCAGTTGGGGAGACGTCTACATAATTTACCACACCCTTATATTCATATTAAGATGACCACATATTTTGTTTAAACCAGTTTTATTTTATTGTCTGCTACTATCGACTTTAGCGCTTTTTTCTGTGATACTGTGTACTCTTGTTTAAAAATCATGCATTTATCTCCTAAATCTCGAAGACGAAGGTTTTTGTTACAAAATCATTCTCAGTAAAAATGAACAATGTAAGTATATTTATTTATTTATTTTTTTTAACTTAACATTGACAACTTTTTTTTTTTTCAGACTACTTCTGATTATATCGTTCAAGAATTGGAAAATGAATATCTACATGACATCAGCTCATACCTAGAGAACTTTTGTGCTAATAACTCGAACAGCGAAATGGAAATTGAAAATGTAGAAAACGACAATCTTAGTGTTTCGGTATGTATATAAAAAAATAAATAATATTAATAATAAATTTTGTATGAAATATTTTTTGAAATTTAACTTTTTATATACATATTATATCTTTTATTAACAAAATAAATATTTTTTGTAGAATACTCCTGTATTATTATAGTATATAACAGCACACAGTTTCTGGAAATACTTAAAAATATTCCTGAAGAACGTCCTGAAATTATCTCACCCGTCTATTTCAATGACAATGGTGATTTAGTTGAATTCCCTGATAATGAATTGGGAATTCAATACTATGACGATTAATTTTATAGTGTTTTAGTAAGTATAATAATAATTATTATTTTTTTAATTTTTAAAAATTATAAAATAAAAAATAGTATTTCTGTTAATAGACTCAAGGAACATATGGACTTTGTTATCGCGTTATTGATGACCAGACAAGCCCCGATCTTTTTCCTGAAATTAATGATGTGTCTAATAGTTATCATTGTAAGTTGTTTCAAATAGACTTAGTTTATTTTTAATAACATATTTTTTTTTTTTTTGTATTAGCTGTACCAAGAAACGAATCTCCTCAAGAAATGGATACATCAAATCTATGGGGAGATGACGGGTTTAATTCAGATGTGAATTACATTTTATGGCGGGCAATAGAGTCCAACAATTATTTGTAAAAATTATTTTTTTTGTGTAAATTTTATGTAGAGTTTTCAATTATGTTAAGTCAAATATTAATAAATGATTATAAATATTAATAATATTGTTTTTATGTTAAGTCAAAAAAATGTACAATCTTTATATTTTGTTTTTAATAAAATAATAATATATACATAAATCCTCTTATGTCTTATCATTTAAAATAAAAAAATAAATTAACAATGGTACCTAATATCATATCCTACACAATATTCTACAAGCGTTGTATTAATGGTGGTTTTAAGTATGTAGAGAGGGTAACAAAAATAGTGGTGTCTGCACACACACACACACACGCACAGACACCCACGCACACACCCCTTCATCGAAACTATATAACCCGCCAGTGTATGCTTTAGATGCGCATATGATTTTTGTTTCTTACTGAGAACTAAGATTCTTTGCTTTCAACAAGTAATCATTGTATCACTATAAACATTTTTATTATTATTTTATTATTCACTATTATTTTATAATTTTATTTATTTATTTATTATTCATTATTTTATTATTTTTCGCTATTATTTTATTTTATTAATTTATTTATCATTCATTATTATTATTATTATTATTATTATTCATCATGTATTCATGTAGTAAATGTGTAAGAACTTTTTCAACTCGATCAAACATGCGTAGACACGAAAAAACGCATTTGGGAATAAGAAACCGATGTGACTTTTGTGACGCAGATTTTAAATACTTTGGAGATTTAAAAAAACATTTGAACAAACATAGTGAGTAAAAATATTCAATTAAATTCAATTTATATTTTAGTTAATAATAAGTGATTATATCTAGTAAAGCAGTAATAAATTAAAATAAAAACAATATATATATAAATATTTAAAAATGTTTTTTACATTAAACTGATTACTTTTCGATAGTTTTACAAAAATATATTATTATTATTATTTGATGATTTTAAATATTGCTAAGTATAAAATTTAATTTATTTCAAGCTATACTTTAAGAAAAAACAATGGATAAGTTATTTTATTTAAAATCTTTTAAAAAGATTATTTTCATATTATATTGATTAATTCTTTTTTTTTTTGATAATTTTACAAAAAATACTGTTAAAAATAATATTTTTAGTTGTTGTTTAAATTATAAAACTATAAAAAAATAAATTTAATTTATATTTTAGTTACAATAATTTCGGAACAAAATCGTCAGAGAGCTAGTGTAATAACACATACTTCAAACTATTATGATAATGAACATTTATACGTACATTCCACCTCAAATTATCAAGGTATTAAAATCTTAGAGAATTTTTTTTTCTTACTAGTCTATTATATTTAAAATTGATATATATTTTTAGGTCCATCTATTGTTTCATTGAATAAACGCAAACATGAAGACATTTGGGGTGGTGAACTTGGGGATCAAATCTGTCTAGAAGCCGATTCAGCATTAACTAGTACTGCTAGTTCTACCGCAGGTCGTCGAACAAAAAAACAACGTCTAGAAGAGGTTAAAACAGAAGGATTCCAATTAATCCAGTCTGCATTTGGAGGTATGATAAAAAATTATTATAAGAAAAATCTCACTCTATTGCCTCACTACCAGTTGTTTCTCGATGAAGCCAAGCCCGAGATAATAAAGTTGCTTACTGAGTTAATATCAAAAGACTCTATTAAATTTAACTTAAAACTGGAGGGTACATAAAAAATCCTCCATACATCAGTTATAGAAATAGGTCTTTCAAAACCGCTGCTCGAACACTATGCATGGCTGACAACGATTTGCATGCCATACTAGAAGAAGAATTTAATAAATTAATGCATGAAGAAGAAGTTTACACATCAAAAGGATCTGGCTTTTCAATAGACAGCGTCGACGGTTTACTACTAAGTGTGTATTGTTATAAACCAATCGGGGGCTCATCGTACATCAAATTACCCAACAGCATTGAAGCACGTAAGGCAATCATTAATGTAAAAAATAATGATGAGATGTGTTTTAAATATAGTATTATGGTAAAATATGTTGACACGCCAAATCCAAGCAGAATTAGTCACTACCTAAACGCACCAGAAAACTACGATTTTTCAGAATTAAACTATCCAGTTGAAGTCAAGGACGTCAAAAAATTCGAAAAAAGGAATCCGGGTGTCTCTGTGAATGTGTACGGATTGAAAATGTGTGAGCCAACATGTAACGTTGATAAAATCCACAACCGCAAAAATAACAAAGAGTATATTGTTGTTCCTTACAAGATATGTGATCAAGAGTTGAACGATCATTTCGACCTACTATTGTTTAATGATGAATCAACTAATGGTGATAAATATCATTATGCCTACATTAAAAATTTTTCTCGTTTGGTAAGATCACAAATTATTAATCACAGAGCTACTATGGCTATATGTAAGCGCTGTTTCAAGGGGTATATCGACGAACCGAATAAACCAGACAAGGCTGTTCGTTTAGCCGAACATAAAAGACAGTGTGTATTAAATAAACCTGTTGCGCCTATTATGCCCACCGTCGGCAGTTCATTACGTTTTCAAAATTGGGGCAACACTCATAAGCATGACGTTGTAATTTATGCTGACTTCGAGGCGATGCTGGTTAAAAATACGGACGACTTAGCGGCAACTTCAAGTGAGAAAAAACTATTATTACACATAACCATGAACCTATGTCATTTGTTTACAAGGTAAAATCAGGTGAAAATGTTCCTGAAGAATTACTTCATGCATACAATATACCTGTTAACCCAGTAGTGTTTTGCGGAGACAGAACCAACAATGAAGTAGGAAAAAAGTTTGTTAACAGTATTGTGGATTTGTGTAGAAGAATTGAACAACTTCTCAAAACAAATCAACCGATGAAGATGACAAGGGAGGATTGGAACGTTCAAACACTATTCTAAGTGGAGGTAAATGTCCATTATGTACAAGTCAATTCACTGAAAGGAACCATGCAGTACGAGACCATCACCATTTAAGTGGCAAGTTTAGAAACACTGTATGTAATTCATGTAACTTAAGAATGCAGACACCAAAATTTGTACCTGTTTTCGCTCATAATATGAATTATGATAAAAGTTTCATTATTGGCGAGTTGGGTTTTGACGCACATACACTGTCCGTGGTACCAAATAGTGAAGAAAAGTTTATATTTTTTTCAAAGTACATTTCAAACAAATTTTCTGTACGTTTTCTAGACACCTTTAAATTTATGTCGTCAAGTTTAGATGCGCTTAGTGCAAATTTAGCTCGTTCAGACAAGACTAAATTCAAATCTGTAATGTCTGCATATCAGAGCAGAGATTTAGATTTAGTTTTTAGAAAAGGTGTGTTTTGCTATGAATACATGAATAGTTGGGAAAAATTGGAAGAACGTTCTTTACCACCTATTGAAGAATTTTACAGGTATTATTATTACAAGACAAATTTCCATATAAATAATATTTTAATATATTATCATTAATAAGTTTTTTTTTTGTATTAGTTCACTTACAGAAAAACATATTTTACCAGAAGATTATGCACACGCTCAAAATGTTTGGCAGCGGTTTAACCACCAAACTTTAAAGGATTACGTTATTTGGTACAATGAGTTGGATGTACACCTTCTTTGTGATGTATTTGAAGCTTTCAGAGACCTGTGTTTATCAACCTATGGACTAGACCCCTGTTTTTACTATACCGCTCCGGGTTTATCATTTGACGCCATGCTGAAAATAACTAAAGTCGAGCTTGAACTTTTAACGGACTATGATATGCTTCTGTTCATAGAAAACGGAATAAGAGGTGGTATCACTCAAGCTGTAAAAAGGTATGCCAAAGCAAACAATAAATTTACGACTGGTTATGATGCGAGTGAACCGTCAAGCTGGCTGATATATTTAGATGCTACTAATTTGTAAGTTTTTTTTTTTTATTTTATAAACATTTTCTTTAATTTAATTTAATAATGTTATTATGTTTCAGGTACGGATGGGATATGAGTCAAGCTCTTCCCCGAAAAAACTTTAGGTGGTATGAAAAGGACATAGCTGTAAGTGCTGTGACCAGTCTGCTAAAAAGGACCGGATCGAACTCAAACACCGGCTATATTATGGAGGTGGACGTTGATTATCCTCAGACTTTACACGATGCACACTCTGACCTACCTTACTTATGTGAAAGGTTTATGCCACCAGGGGCAAAAATTTCTAAACTTTGTACTACTTTAATTAATAAAAAAAATTATACTGTACACTATACTGTTTTGAAAGAGGCTATGGACGCTGGGTTGAAACTGAAAAAAGTACACAGAGTATTACAGTTTGAACAGAGCGCATGGCTATCAAAATACATTAAAGTCAACACGGAGAAAAGAAAGTTGGCTACTAATGATTTTTTTAAAGATTTTTTTAAATTAATGAATAACGCCGTATTTGGTAATTATTTAAAATAAAAAAATTGATAAATTATTATGCTCTCTAACGCGATTAAATTTTATAGGAAAAACCATGGAGTCATGCAGAAATAGAATGAAAATGAAGTTGGTATTGATGTCAATCAAAGCTCTGTTCTTGAACACAATTATAAATTATTTGACAATTTTTTAAGTAGCGAACAATTTCTAGTGGAGGCTCTACACCAAAACTGCCATAGTAATAAGCCTTGTTTTTATATTTTTTTATAGCTACCCAATGAGTTCCATGATTTTTATACGAGTCTAAGTTAACAATTAGTGATTCTATAGTACGACTATGAATAGGCAACTGATCTCTTGAAAATGTACCAGTATACTGAGGAATATTCATCAAGTTTGCGTACTTTGTTAACTCATAATCAAACAGTGCTCTCTTAGGTAGCTTTTCTAACAGTTTTTTATACGTGGACATGTTTTTGATTTTCTTTTTTGTTTTGTCGTTATTCCTTTACCACTGGGTTTTAAATACAATCCGCTACCATTTGAACTTTTATAGACTTTTGTTTTTTTTGATTTGGATGATAATCCTCTCCCCCATGGTTTTAAAAACAAACCTTCACCTTTACTTTTAGGTGCTAGAAACAACCCATTACCCAATTTGTACTTGCCTGGTGAATAGGGGGCTAAATATAAACCCTTACCCAATTGAACAGGAGAGTTTTTATTCGAGTTCATTTCTTTTATAGTTTTAACTATGCTTGTTGCACCACTCGCTAAGCTCCCCAAAGCCGAGAGTCCGGCAAATATAGGCAGGAGTTGAATAAATCCACCTTTTTGTGGTACACTTATAATTCTAGGTCTTCTAATAGATTTTTTAGTCTTTGGTAAAACTTTTTTTGCTGCTGCTATTTTTGCTAATTTGTGAATATCAGTTTCATTTGTAGATTTTATAGAGTTTTTGGCAGCCATTACTGCATCTTTGAAACTTCCTTTTTTATTTTTTTTTAAGCCCATACCGAGTTTTCTTTTTAACTTCATCGCATTTACAACTAACCAAGAAGCAGCTTTTTCTTTTAGTCCTACGTCTTTGGATTTCACTAGTTCCCAGGCTGAATTTTCTAAAATCTTGTCGGCTTCGTGTCTTTTTTCTAATGAATTATCAGCAGCATAAGCCAAATCATGAGTGAGACATAATTCATCTAATTTATTAACTCCGCGATCACCTCGAGCTAAACGTTTAGCTAACTTTGTACCTGGCCCAGCAAACCTAAATTAAATAAATAAATTAAAAAGTAATTTAAACTAATTATGATAAACTTGAAATTAAATTACTTGCTTATATCCGGGAATGTGAGCTTCAAATGGAAGGTTATTTATTGCGGAGTTAATAAGTGACGCACCACTGTTGTTCTTTGTCGTTACACACGTAGACATCTTTTAAAGTATACAAGTTAACTACACGTGTATTTACAGTGAAAATGAAATTTACTCCTCAAGAAAAAAAGTTATCTGTTCGTAATTTTGACCCTCCACAAAATTATAAAGTAAAATCCAGACACGGAGATTTATTTCCAAATTCTATCAGAGCTTTAGTACTAGGACCCAGTGGTGGGGGTAAAACTAATGCCGTGTTTTCATTGCTCACAAACGAAAATGGTTTAAAGTTTGAAAATATATATCTATACTCGAAAACTTTAGATCAGCCAAAGTATAAAATGTTAAAAGAAATTATAAACGATATAAACGGAATGAAAATGTTTACATTTGATCAAAGTAAAGGAGGTATTGCCTCCTGAAAAAGCATTATCAAATTCTGTTTTTATTTTTGATGATGTGCTAACAGAATCGCAAGGTGTTATAAGAGCCTATTTTTCACGAGGAAGACATAATAATATAGATTTAATTTATTGCGCACAAAGTTACAGCTTTCTGGACAAACGTCTACTGCGGGATAATGCTAACTTTATTATACTGTTTAAACAAGACGAGACAAATTTAAAACATATTTTCAACGACCACTTAGCTTCAGATATAACGTATAATCAATTCAAAGAACTTTGCATAACTTGCTGGAACTTGGACAAGTACAACTTTGTAGTCATTAGCAAGGACGATGAAAGAGATAAAGGACGATTTAGGTTAAATTTCGACACCTTCATTAGTATATAGTCTATGATTTTTTATTTATCGTATGCATTTATTCGGTAATCATGGCTCAAGAAAGTTATGTATTACTGAACGAGTTAATACGAGCAAAAGAAAATATAAAACGTAAATATAAAGAATTGAAAGAAAACGATATTAATACCGAAAAATTTATAAGGCAAAATTTAGAACCAGTGATAAGTCCACTTGAAAAATTAGTGAGTACGAAAACATATGATAAACAATATGAAAATGATGACACGAAAACCGAGGAAAATGTTAAAATAAAATCAGAAGCACTAAATGAGGAAGAAAAAATACAGCAAAATACTATGATAAGTTCATGGTTCAAATCTCAACATTTGGATAAAACATATGGTCCTGTAAAATCACGTGGTAGTAAGATAAAATTAGGTGATGCATTTATTGAATTTGACATTCAAAATTCAGTTTTATATATAAATGATTCTACGTTTCCATTAACAAGCGGTATTGTTCAGTTGTTGTTCTCTAAAGACCCGATAAATTATACACAGACTAATATGCAAAATTATAAAAATATGTTAATACTTACATCAGCTCATTTGAACAAGCAAAAGTCTAATTTAAAGAAAGGTGGTAATAAGTATAAAACTATTATTGCACCATTGTTCGCTAATGGAGAAGGTCTTACATTAACTTTACAAAAAAACGCTCATAAAACTTTTGAATTTTGGGATGATCCGAATCAGTTAGTCAACAAACTAAAATTATTATTAGCGTCAAGAGCCGCTGGCAATACGGGTGTGCTAAATTCAATCACGTCAATTTGGCAGGAATTATTAGAAGCAGGAATTATAAAAAAAATCCCAAATGTCTAGACTGGAAATCGCTACTGAACTACATAAACAGGCAAGACGAAATTATCCTCGAAGAATAGTTAATGTGTATGGTAAAAACCACTTATTTTAAGCTGACCTCATAGAAATGTACCCTTTTCTCGTCACAATAAAGGTTATTGTCGGCGAACAAAGAGGCAGGTAGTTCGGACCGGTTGACCTGCTACCTAGCNGGCAGGTAGTTCGGACCGGTTGACCTGCTGCCTAGCGTCACAGAAGGGATCGGTACTACCTACCGCGGAAAGGTAATGAGGGTGGCTTGTAGTCTCAACGACGGTCAGTGTTCAGAATTAAGTAGATGAAGAAGGACGCAGCAGATATTCCCCCTTTGTTATATTTCATATTTATTTAATTGTGTTTCATTTTGTTATAAGTTATTTTCTTAATAAAGCAAGTTGATTTGTGTTTAANTAAATAAAGCAAGTCAGTTTGTGTTTGATCATTCACTATAAGTAAGTTTGTTTTTATTTTATTGCATAGAATAAATTTGTCTACAATAGACAAATTTACACATAACACAATATTATTGAGAGTAACATTTAGAGCAATTCTAAATAAGTTAACTGCATGAGTTCACCTGCGCACAACTACATTAGGCATAATTTACATAATCAGAGAGAAATAATTAGAGTATGGTGCCTTAACTATATTTTAATNAGAGTGTGGTGCCTTAACTATATTTTAATTATTTCTATTTTATAGTCATCGTTGTCGGCGCACTGCGGTGGTCGATTGACGTCTAGGGTACTCGTGCAAGGCGGTACTCTACTGTTATGTGCCATCGGTACTCTGCGGATACCATGACACGTTTAAGGGCACTGGCTCGGNGGATACCATGACACGTTTTAGGGCACTGGCTCAGAGCGAGTGTTCTATTGTTCTTTTAGTAATCGTTGTCGGCGCACTGCGGTGGTCGATTGACGTCTAGGGTACTCGTGCAAGGCGGTACTCTACTGTTATATGTCGATGGTACTCTGCGGATATCACGACATGTTAAGGGCTACTTACGCAATACTCACAGATTAAGCTACACGACATAACGCATATAGTATTACTGGTTAACCAGCGTAGGTTACTCATGCAGTTAGGTTATAACGACATTTGATATATTTTACACATGTTAGAGCTTCATACTCTGTTTTTTATTAATTTATGATTACAGTCCATTCACGAGTATTAACAGTTATAAATACATTTTATGTGTTATAGACTGTTATACTAAATTTGCATGGGCTAAACCGTTAAAAACTAAAAAAGGTAAAGAAGTCACTAAATCTATTTCCAAAATACTTGACGATCGTAGGCTTAAGTTTTTACAAGTTGACAACGGAACTGAATTCTATAATAAAAATTTTGATGAGATTTTAAAAAAGTACTATATATAGTAGTATAAATATTAAAAGATACTCAACATTTTCAACAACTAAAAGTTGCATATTAGAACGGTTTAATCGTACATTAAAAAATAAAATTTATAAACAGTTTACTGCGCGTGGCTCTAACAATTGGATAAGTATTTTACCGGCTTTAATGCAAGAATACAATAACTCACATCACCGAACAATAAACAGCACACCCGCAGAAGCAGACTCTAACCCACTATCTATAAAACTACATCAACGTA